GGTTTCTCGTCTCATTTTCCTTTAGAGTGGTCTACAGTTGTTCGGCTTAGTTAGTCAGTGTTTTCGATATAAACCAACTAGACAATAGTAATTCTATTTTTCCATTTTGATCTCTTTTGTTTTTCCACTTCTTTCCGTTTTTCCCCATCTTCTAAGTTGATTTCGAAATGAGACAGCTAGGGATAAGATGGTTCCCAACAACGATAAGGAACAGTTAGAACGCGAATCTTTTTCGTGCCTTCCTTCATTTTTAATAGACGAGGTGGCTTATCTTATCTGAGAGTTACAGCTTCTATTATAAATACATAAATGAACCATCAAGAGTTCATCATTAATCTTCAAGCCCCTTATCTCAAGGTTCCTCTCTGTTTCGTCATGCTTTTTCGGGGGAAAACACGATTGCCAATTTTTTCTCATCGTCAATTCGAAACAATTGCTAGATATAGCTAGTTATAAGCGGATAGAATTGGGATTTTTCGTTGCCTCCGCCTACCCACTCCCTTCAACTATGAAGAACGGGCGACGATGAAGGGCTCTTTAATTCTTGGCTCGACTAGGCCGAAGATAAACGATTGAAGAAGCGTCTGCCGACCCTGAACGACAACTATTTCCTACTCCTCTTGCGGTCGTACACTTAAGCTATCACACGACGACACAATGTTGGAACTATCGAGCCGGTATTTCTCCTTATTTAATTTCTTTATTATTTCATAATGATATTATTTATGTATTTATTATTTGTGAGTTCAACCCTAGAGCCTTCCTCTTGTGCGTAATTTCAAGCCATTTGGGCTATATAATGCACCCTAGGGTAGCAGATATATGTGACACGCAACCAAAAACGGTCATGTATATCAAATTCAACCTTGAGAAGAAAGTATCCAAGAGATAAACTTCTTATATCTATTGCGACATCAAATTGAGTTCCAGTTTCCGAATACGCTGTGTTTTTCATGTGTATCTGTATTGGTGTCCTTTTTATATATTTAACTACGATTTTGTAATCAAGTGAGTAAGAAGTACATTAGAGATGATTTGGATTATACTCAGTAGCTGAACTCTACGAAAGCCGCATAACCAGCTCTTACCATGCGAGAACTCGGCGAACTTCTGGTGATCTTTTTTCTCTCACGAACAATAAAAATAAAGAACATCATAAGAAAAGGAAACTTCAGAAGTGTTCCAAAAGTCAATCGATCGTTAAGGAGATTCTGACAGATTGTTACCTGCATATCGAATGTCTAACAAGTCCAGATTTTGATGGTTACGCAATTTGTTTGAAATTAAACTCTACGCTAGCAGACCTGAGGAGTAGCGACGTCGCTATCACTGGGAACTGCCAAGACTTGTGGGTCAGAGGAAGTCCTGTGTCGAGTTAAAATGACATTTATGGTAAGATCGACTTCAGCTTCTGGTGGTGATTTGTGCTTAGCCAGATTTACAGATTTAAACGTTAGTCTACTTCTCGGCTTTCAGTAGCTCTGTCTGCTATGGAGACGACAGCTTTGTGTCGTATCCGGGCATCTAGAAATAAATCTTTGCCACGAGATGTAGTATCATAGAGCAAGTCTATTGATTGCATTTAATTCAGTAGAAGATGAGTCTAGACGAATCTGGAACGAATACATATATACGCAGAGTTTGAATATTCTAAATATGTGAGACTTGGCTAAAAATATTTTGCGAAGCCTGTATTTCGTTCGATGCCGATGCAGACTGTTTTATGGATGAAAATGTTTGCGAACAATCCTTTCCGAAGGCCTTCTGTCGAAGCGGTTATTTTAGGTTCGCCTCATCTCATAAACTCGTCGTGCGTTGGCGGTGCCCTTATCTTCGCAGTGCTACATGTGCATGATCTATAGTCCCTGGAGACAATACTAGCTTTCTAGCCGTCAGCACGAGGCTCTAGCTACAATTTGAAGCGATTTGTCCGAATCAAATTCGTTTTTCTAGCGTTTGGACTTGAACTGAGATTTGACTATGGTTTTCTTGAACCGATGAGTCGTCAACATAAAACAAAAGAACAAACTTTCGACGTTGACCAATCTCTGTGCGCCGTGTATTCGACTATGTTGTGTCGTCGACGCAATTTAATGAAAATCTGACACATATAATGACTTTCGGTGGTCTACCAATATATCAAATTCGTGCTCTTCTCCAGGTTTGATATCAATTTGTCAACCCGGAGGTGTGTAAGGCCCGGTAAACCTCGGGCGCAGGGTCGAATCAAAGACCAACCCAGACCGTCTCTAACCACTGCGCAACATTGTTAGAAGTTGTCAAAGTAGGCTGTGGAAATTTTTGTCAATGTTTTAGGTAGTTCAATTTCATTTTCAAGATGAAGTGACATCCAATGCAGTTTAGGACAAATTCGAGTTTCCATTCAATAATATGTGGTACAAGTTCTTACTGAAACAGAAGATTCTCACGGCTGAAAGGGTGTGAAACTCCTAGCATCAGCAGATAACACTAAGAAAGTCATACGAGGAGAGCAAGCATGATCAGCTTCCTTTTGTTTCTGGTCTAGAAGTTAGTTCGTTCAAAGAACTAGTTTAATGTTTAACAAGCACATGATTGTAGGCGTTACTTCTAATTTTTCCTTGACAAGCTTATCCTCACTCTATCACGTTTTTTCAGACTATCTCACCACATCGATGCGAATTTTTGCAATATAACATTATGACAAGTCGGATTGATCCAATGGCTTATTCCAGTCACGTACTTAATACTTGATATTTGAACGCCCCGTCCTCACTGGTTGTGCGGGGCGTAGCACACTCTCCATTTTTCGGAGATTAGATGGTTAAGCCACTGTGGTTCTCTGGAATCCCGAGGTTAGCCTGGCCAAAGTCTGCCCAAGGTCTTCACCACCATAAGCAGTCGCAGCTCTTGTGACTCAGAGGAAGATTTACCACCATGCGACTTTGATACCAGGACGTTGTTGGATCTTGGTAGTGGTTTACTCTTAGCTTGGCTTCCTGATGGAAACGCCGGACCCCTTCTCAGCTTGGGAGACCCTGCCAGAGGAAGAATCCTCCCGCTGTACATCGCAGCCCGGCACCCAGGAACACCTCCCAGCCACGATGAGGCGGTAAATCGTTGGGACGATTCCAGTCGCGTAGATATCATTATTATTGATAAGGCTTGAAACGAGTCATGTATACGACAACCTCCTTCAATGCAATAAAACTCTATGAAGAATAACGTAGAATTCTTTTGAAGACCTTTTTAGGACCATCTTAGCATTGAAACCGCCGCTAACTCACAGTGCACTAGAAGGCATAGTAATACGTTGGGAACTTCTCTTAAGTAATTCGTATTTGAGTTGTGAGTTCATCGAATGAATGCGAAGTCGTTGTGTTCATTAGGGAAAAGTTTAGTGTTCACCAACTAAGAAGTATCGAGAGAATTCCTTTTTTCGTTCTCCTAAAACAGAATGGAGTACGCGATGCTAGCATCCAGACTAAACCATAGAAGTCGTACTTGGTATTGCTTACGAATACGATGAAGTAACCCTAACAGTTTCTTTCGCTTTTTCGTCCGCTTAACTACAGGTTGTCACCGTCATTCTTCACGGTTCACACAGACTGTTTTCTCCCATACTTCAACCACTTCCCTCAACCCTTTGCCAATAACGTGTTCATTATACACTTTCAACTAAAGTCAAATACAATGATGCCGAGATATTTGCAAAACTGCGGACCGCAGGTGCCTGTGATGGGGAGCGAACGCGCTATTACCCTTTCCGCGGACTAACGCGTTCACCACCACACCATGCGAGTCATTCGTTTCGCTTGACTCTCAGCTAAAATCAAATATCTCATACTTCCTATTCATTTGGAAATTTAAGGGAGAAAACTTGTGAATGATTAGGTTAGATTTTTAGAATCATGGGATTTACCACGCAGAAATCTATCGATACAGTAGAAAGAATGGTCTGCTAGTAACAACTATCAATTCTAAACCATTTCTCGGCTACATTAAAACATTTGCTTAGTATTTCTTAAAAAAAGACCCCATGATACATAAGACTGTTCCAAATCCTCCGCGCGAACGAAGAAAGCCCAGTTAGTATTGCTTTCCTTCTTTGAAATCACGTGTAGAAATCCAAGCGAAACGTGCCTAACGACTCACGAACACTTTAAAAGGTATATAATTTGGATGTGCAAACGTCTTGGGTCTACAGTCTCTTGAAGAGTTTCGTCTACGGGAATAAATACCTAGTTTATTTATGTGATTCGGACACCCTACAGCAATTTACGACTCTTCTTTGAGAACTTAAGTCGGTTAGAAACGGCGCTGTTTGTCACACTTCCAGTTACTGCACACAGAGCAGTTAACGGCCACCCGAAAGTACATATGTACTTCCCTTGAATCACAGGCGGATTCCAGGAAGTAGACCCGCTTCTCTGCTTCGCTCACCGAGTCCGCCAATCCCTCTGGGGCCGACAAAGTAGCACCAGACTTCCTGGGAGCATAAAAACGCCGACTTTACTCATTAGCAGACCACCTGAAGTCATTTTGTAAGCTACAAATCAATTCACTGACCTCTATGTTGCCAGAGATGGAGTCGAATGCATGGTGTAGCCCCAAGTATTGATCAATGCTGAACGCTTTATACTTTTGCTTTTCCCTCTGCTCCGTTGGATTCATTTCTACCTTTATCACATCCATACATTCGTATATGTGTGGGGTTTGTATCGTAAATGTTGATTCGACGATTAAAGGATTGCGAATTACTTGAGAAACGGTTCAGGATTGCCTCTAACAACTGTTACACCCACTCCGACAGAGCTTCGCGTTCCACTGACGAGTTTTCACTTGAATAGTGTGGTGTACTTCGTGTCCTTTTAGAGAACACAGCTCACTGGGCACATCCACCACTAGGCAGGAATAAATGGAAGTTTTGCTGGTTCCGATTCGTTTAAATGATTGACAGGCTTACACTGAATAGTAACTCTGCACCACAAAAAAAATCCATTAGCTCGAAGAGGAGCTGAATGCCATTTTGGAAATTCCAAGTTCTCGAAATCGAACTTGTCGTGCACCTCGATTTTCCAACGGAACAAATCCGAACTTTGGCCTTCTTGTGGCCAACTACTGGTTACACTCAATGTGAGTGATTTTTCCCAGGTGAGGACGGTATACCTACAGACGAGGGAATCATAGGAAAGAGTCATATCAACCATATCAAAAGGTAATCATAGGAATGATCTATACGAAATTTCGTACTCCCTTGTATGAACCGATACTTCACACAAAAATTCGCAATGGTCCTCAACCATTCAAAACTGCTGACGATGAAGGATAAGACGGATTTTACATCATAGTCGCTTGCAATTATTTAAAGACATGTATTGCACTTTCAGCGAAACATTACTACAACCGGAAACACGTGTAGAGATCGAGGGTCGTCACCGACATTCAGCTGGAAATGGACAACGGAGAGTTGCTGATATGAAGTCTACAGTGGACGTTGACGAAGCGCAGGTCTTGATTTCAGTATGCAGGTAAGAGAATAAATCAGGCAATCCAAGTGATGACTCAAAAGAATAAAAAGGAATTGAAAAAATTAGGAATTTAAACCGATGAAATTGAAAGCAAAGGGTAGTGGTACCACAAAAAATCCCATGGAATTATTCTTATCCAAAAAAGGTCTGATCCAAGCTCTTTACTTTAATATACGCTCACTGATTCGGACAGAGGCCATTTAGGAATAATAACAAACGTATTTCAACTCACATGCCTTCACCAAGGTTTATTTCGTTTTTTATTGAAATAATTATGTAATATTAATGAAACAGTCAGAAATATGTGGTTGGTTTTTACTAAAGTAAGCAGGAAGTTGATGGAATTATTTATTATGCAACTGACAACATCGTATGAAAGAAAATTTTTATAAGAACTGGTTCAGAAAGCGGTTTATACAACCGAGACCTTCTTCACAAGACCCGACATCACATCTACTGTGCCAATCTCAGCATTTCTTGTATTCGACTCGTTTCGTTGCATCCACCTTCCATGAAGATCTTCGAATTTTCGCTTGTAGCTTCCGCTAGTTACTGAAGATTTATGCTCTTTTCTGTTCCTCTTCTTCTATGAATGTTGTTGAATACTAGTCGAGTCGATTCCCTCCGGAGTCCCGGCATAGTCGGGCTAGAGTGCTCCCTAGGAAAGAGTAAGTTGATCTCAGACAAGTCGGTTAGCAAGTGAGGATAGAAAAAGAAGAAAAGGAAGTCAATATAGCGAAATTTCGTCGAAATTTCTGGAAATACCAGTTTTTCACTAGAAGCCTCGCTCAGTGAGGAGGAAAATCTCGGACAAATTACGGTGTTCTCACATGGGCTGGAACTGCTACTGAACAGATTCTATGCGAGTTACTTCCTCGTGTGCAACCGGCACTTTTAAAGTCCCAATACGTCGGCTGATAGCGCAAGAAAATGACGAAGACCAATGTGCATATCATACGTGCTTTACAGATTATATGTCAAAGCCCCACGCATTTCAAATATCATTCCGAGTTAAGCCAATTTGTGCAGGGATCCAGATTCTACTATAAATTCGACAAGATAAAAACCTTAATAGAAATGATAGTGGCCTGTGGAAGACGAAAATGCATTCAACATAATTCTTACCTATCGCTGTTTAATCCGGTATGGTATAGCCGCTCACACGAACAGGGTTGTCATTGCGTTCAACAGTCGCTGTTTCATTTCCATAGAACACGGCAACCTATTGTCACTATTTACAGCTCAATGTCAATAAGTAAACAAGCGGACAGCAACTTCGAATCTCTCAGTGACACCCGATGATGAAAAACATCGGAGAATACTAAGCATTCATGCATTCTTCCATTAATGAACTAACATGAAGTTGATAAAACAAACTTTACTCCACTAACGTCTAGATGTCTTCGCCTTCCTCAGAGTCGATGACCCGAACCAATGTCCACATCTCTTCGTACCCTCGATGTGGTACCTTCGTCGTCGTGTTGAGTCAAATCTTTTTCAGTCGAGCGCCGCTTGAATGAAGCAACCTTACCCGGCAATGCTCTTTTATACATGATGGTTGTTCAGTTCAATACTCACTTAAGGCTTAACCAAAGGACATTATCAATGGGTCCAGTAAATTGTTCGTCGATCGACCAAATCAGTGCTCGCAGTTGACGTTGAAAACATGTATAATGAACAGTTTCTGATAGACCATCCATTGTACATGTTATCAAGTGATCTATTACAAGGAAAGCACAACCTATGCGCTGGCTCGACCTAGCCCCAGCCCACGAAGTCTACTATCCTTTTGGAGTCAAAACATGGGTACAAGACTAGTATGGGGCCAACTCATTCCATCGAGTCTACATCGGAACACTCTATCTCGGCTAACTTAGGATTCGAGGAAAAACACACATGATCAGCATTCAGCGAAACTGATAACGAAGATGAAACTCCTCACTCCGCAACCAAAACCCGTATGCAAATGTTCAACAACCTCTGTGGATGACGGATGTGAAGAAACAAATCAGACGAAAAAAGTGCAACGACCCCCACAGCATACGAAGTCGGATCATGGAAGAATTCTTAGCATTATTATCATTGCTATTATTATTATTATCACTATTATTCCAATTTTTCCATCTGATAGGCAATACTACTACACATCATATTCTTACATGAACCATTCTCATCGGTAGGGACACGTGTAGCAAATGAATAGAGCTGTCCCACTAAGAACCCTTCCATCGCTCTTGGGTTAGCAAATCGGTACCAGACTTGCCTGATGGGATGATAACAGCACCGAGTTGATAAAGAAGTTCATCTCAGCCAAGTCTGTTACCAATATCCCGAACCTGGAGGGATGGGACGCTTCGTTGCCTCTGGATGTGTCGAATTAGCGGTTCTGTGCATTCTATTACACAGTGTCCCTAGCACTGAGTTACTGTTCTTATTTTGCTTAAAAAACAACCAATTATACAATTTATAGGGCAATATTAGCTCGTCTCCTTTTCATTGTACACTCAATAGTAACGATCTGGCACACTGTCACAATTGAAGGGAGGTCTGTCAATTTTCAAGTCGACTGATTTCATTTCAAGCAAACAACAAGAATAGAGAACATTAAGCTGTGTATTTCTCTCCTCTTATAAATGCTTCAGAAAAAAATTGTCCGCATAATATACGGGACAATGCCCCCACGTTGTGCCCATAACGGAAGTTCTTTTCAGAGACAGCGTTTGGGGATTCGCTCTTCTATCGGTGGTTATTGTTTTTGAGGGATCTTATACTATTATTATGCGAGCCGGAGATGAGAGAAAATGGTGGTTCTTCAACTTCAACTGTTTAAATTCTAATCATGAATACCGTCATCAAAATGGAACGGCCATTCTCACTGTCATTCATGCGAGACCTTGCCTCAGTGTGCTAGTAGAGATAATCAGCTTTAATAGAACCTAATTATTGATCGAATAATATTTATGCAGGTTCTGTACTAGTTTGTTCCTATATATTCTTGCCACAGCGCCACCAATATGGCTTCATGAAACGAAAATATGTGAGTGGCGAAGGCAAATCGATTTGCTAGGAGAAAACAAAGTTCGAACTGGTGAGTAATTCATTCCCGTAACCAGTTTATGTATTCTACAAAGAAAATCTTGTCACTTATAACTGCAAACAGTCAAAATGGAAATGAGTAAGATAAGACTTTGGACAAGATCACCACACAAGCCTGCGCATCTTACAGCCAGTCCCTTGCTTAACTGTAGCTCGAAAAAACGCTGAAAAGTACTCCCTCAACCAATTTTCTGCTTCAAACTACTGTTTTCAGTTTCCTGATCTTTTTTTGTATTAAAATAAAGCATTATAAAGCTCGCTACAACAAAGTTCCGAATTCAGGAGAACTAGAACAAGAGCTAGAATTACAACTTCTCGAACAACTTCTTCTCGTCGTTCTCATTATTGGACGTTGGCTCCTGCCTAAAGGAGACATAAGTCGTGAACAACTTTCGCAGATTCTTCTCGCATATTTAGTTAACATGTTAAATTAATAGCAGCTTTGATGAAAGAGTCTAGGGCACGGTTTTTTCTCCTTTTCAGGCAATTTCTTCGGACATTGTAGAGTTTTTTGATGTCTTCAAAGAGAAACCAGTTTATAACAATATCAGCGTTCAACGAATTGTACTTGCGGCTTGGACAGTAAGTTTGCTGATAACGCAACTGCAAATAGTAACAAACTAGTTGATGTAGACAAACTGCTCTGATTTTTAGCTCAGCCTATTGCAATTTCCCTTTGTACTCACAGTTAGTAGAGCGAGAAAAATGCGGGTCGCTATAACAAAGACGTATGAAGAACTTATGCTGCCCAGAAGACCACAAACCTTTTGGGAGGTTAGCTGTTCTCCATTTAACATAAGCACAACAATTACATGGTTTCATTTAGATATTCCACGATGTTGACTTATGGGCAATTGTGCTTGCTAATTCTCTACAAGATATTCCATTCCTGCTCGTAAGTTCTTCTTAGCAGATCCACTAAACTTTAAGGGACTAAGTTATAAACCATGAACGCAACTGACAGTAAGAGAGAAGTAAACGAACTACTTCAGGTTCGTCTATACCTAATGCTCCAATATGGCCTCATTACTTATACAATGATTTTTTTCACATGTAAAAATGCACTCATCATTGCATTGCAAACATACAGGTACACCCACGCCTTTAACACTACTATGTTGTTCGAAACAGCATTCAATACAGGCAAAATTTGGATTCTACTTCGTCCCCTTAATAAAAGCCAAACTTCGTTTCAGGGCTTTCGTCCTACTTAATGATCGCTACATTCACCCGAAGTCGCCAGCACTGGATATACTGGAACCTCACCACATGCACCATATTCATAACCATCCAAGAAAGCCCACAGGAACGAAGAAAAAACCTCGTAAACGGAAAATGAAACGTGGTAAAAGCGAAGAACGTCAACATCTATTCAGTCCCAATCGAGAACGACGACTGAATCGTCGTAAAATGGACATATTGGAAGAAACAACAGCATAACACTGCCAATACAATAAAAATTCTTCAAACAAAAACAATTTATGTAACAGAACAACGCATTTAATGTTGTTTCTTACGGAAAGAGCAACCTTCGGTCAAACGAGCTTTCCCTCCCGTTGGCGTGCACAGCACCGTATTACAACCAACACAAACGACGACTGTAGTCGCATGAGAAAAGACCGTTGTTATCTGAAAAACGCAGTTACTGAGATACCTGTGTTAAATGGCAACACTTGACAGCCTTTACACTATAAACGCACAAATGGTAGAGGTTAACCTATCCAGATAAACATGTCGTCAAAGCTATCCATCGATAAAAGGATAAAGCGATAAAGAATAAGATTTAAATTCGGGTATGGAAAAATAAATGTACAAGTTGCTTTTAATCATAACACCAAACGATGCTGTATTCTCAACGGTTACCAATCCTAGGTAAAAACAGGCATTTACAATTTAAATTGAATTGATAAGCATATCATGGGTTTCATCTCTGCAGTCCAAAAAAGAAACATCCTGATAACTGAGTTAATTCTTTTTTATGGTAAGATAGAGGAGATAAAATCTTGCCATAACCAAAACCATGACAGATGTGTTCTAACATTAACACTGAAGGTTTTCCTCGTATAGACTTCCCAACAACGAATTCTAACTCAACACTTAGTGGATGCTAAGCCCAAATTATGCGACAAAACCGCGTCAAGGTCCTATGTCTCCCCGGTAAAAACTGCTTTATAACCATTTAACTATTACCACCGTAAAAAAAAGCCCAATCATTACTAATGGAGAGCAAAATATTCGCCAAATATGTGAAAACATGCCCTCATTACAAATAAGCCATAGCTAGCAAACAGCATAGAGATTTACGATTCAAAATAACACATACTATACTCGCGCTGATTTACTATCGGTGCTCTGCAACACCTACCCAGTCGTTGGTTTAATCCCCGAAATGGAAAAACTAGATCCTTTTTCATCGGCGGTCCGAAAATTGGAGAAAATCTCACTTAGGGGTATATGAGGGAGTGGAACAGAAAAACACTAAATTAATACATCGATAGGCAACCGCACCAATTTGTAGACCACATATGCATTAAGTCAACTATACGATGCTTAAGACTCAGTGAGTGTTTCTGATTTTTAATAAAACACAGTTACAATGATGCTAAGATATACACAAAACTTTGGTCACGGGCCAGATCGAACCACGATTACTCTTCCGATCGCTCGCATATTAACCGGGTTTAATGCCGACTTGTGCTTCGCAAATCAATCCCGTTGACGAGTGATTGCTGATAACAGTGTTAGGAAGAAAAGTAGGTAACGAATGCAAAGCAAGGGCCTCCATGGTGCAGTGTGTAATACGCGAGCCCCGGAAAAAGTCATCGTGGTTCGATCTGGCCCAGAGTCAAAGTTTGAGAATATCTCAGCACTGTAGTGGTTGTGTTTGACATCATACCTTGCCATAAAAACTATGGTAGGCAGTAAATAAAAGGTTACCATTGTTATTTAAACTGTTGAAAATTTTTCGATAACTAGAAAATTTGAGGAGTTCAAAACGTGGTCGGCCCAAGGAAAAAACTTTGCTCTTTCCGTTTAAGAATAATTACGATGCTTCAATGCGGTTATTTAAGTTCCCAAGTTGTTCAGAAATATTTCAAAAGAAATGAAGACGAAATATGAATTTTTAAAATTCCAAACGAAATGCCGGTAGTACACGATGTTCGCTTCATGCTCTTTGCACCTAGTAAAAGTGGAAAAAAAGAGTCAAGCGAATCTAAGAGTTGAACGGTTTCACGAAGTCGTCACACACTAATCAATGACTTGAAATTTTTAACCTCATATCACTAATAAACATGGATAGCGACAAACACTTAAGGATAAAGCTCTCGATGTTGATCAATCTCTGAAGGATGCACCATCCATTCGACTTCATTAAGGACCGCTGGAGGTGAACGAATGCATATCTGGCTTTTACAATGATTTGCGGTGGCCTGCCGATGTATCGAGCCAGTGCTGATATCCTCCCAGACAAGTTTGATACCAATCTGCCGACCTCGAAAGGATAGAATTCTTGGTGGGCCAGGGGCACGGAATCGAACCCATGCGTATTGCAGAGCGCCTCCGACCACTGAGCTACACGCATTTCTGGATAGCGACAATACCATGTAAATAACATCTATCCGGTCATGTACGGTTTCGAGAACATGATAGAATCAAGTCACGTAATCATGAACTCATCTTGATTTCATTTGAACAAAACGTCCTTACAGTTTTTTCATTAACTCGGTTACGACTGCTACAAAAGATTGAATCCAGAACAAAACACAAAGTAAGAGAAGACATCACCTTAAAACATCCTGGACACTTAACATCCATAAAATAGCTGTTAGGATGCTGAACAAGTCTTTTCAGTTTGTGCCGTTGGCGCTCTTTTTCTGGATCAGGATGCAACAAATCAACCGCTAAAGGCATATCTCGTCCTAGTCGAGCTAAGTACCCGATGCTGAAAAGGAAGGAATCTGAATGATAACTGTTCCGCTGACCAAGTTTACAGGACAAGTTGGTCAAAAACGACAAAAAGGCACGAGAGCTAGAACGACTACTGCTAAACGATTCCAGAAACGCACTTTAAAAGCGGAATATTGCACAATCTTACGAAAAACTTAACCTCCTCGAGAAATAACGAAAACAATATTGTAAACCGGATTTGGACAGCTGTTAACCCAGCACATAAAGATGATTAAGTCATAACTGTCCATAAACATGATATAGTGTATTTCTTTAGGATATCGACAACGCCATGGACCCACCAACCACACAGAACCCTACTGATCCTGTGTTTCACACTTAGAGGTAAGGATAAGACCGGATGAGAAAAATTACCACATGCAGCATAACAACATAAGTAAATCCAGTAATGAATAGTTATAACGTTGCGGAAAGATTGTATGGGAAAAGCGATGAGACTGCGTATCACAATGGTTAGGAGTCGACGCGCAGCTGTAATGCAGATGTGTTGGCGCTGCTCCAAAAATTTAATCCCGCGCTCTCTCTCCTTCTGTCGAGAATATACTGTAAAACTTGCCAGTTAGGGTGATTCTCTTGGATTCCTTCTTGAGTTGAACTCGCATCGCGAAGAGTTCTGTCGTTTCGATAGTGTCCTATGTTGTCAGTTATGCCTAATGTGGGTGTATATCTTATTGAAAGTGTTCTGTTTTTGTAGGAATCTTTACGTTTTCTAGGATACTTGATACTGTTAACTCAAAATTTCCTCACTTTTTTGAAAAGGTAGCTTTTAACCATATGAGTATGTATAATATGTGTAATAATATAATGTAAGGACCCGCATGGTGTGGTGGCGAACGAGCTGTTCCCCGGAAAGCATAATAGCGTGTTCGGTCCCCACTGCAAACACATGCAGTCCGGGGTTTTGCAAATATCTCAGCACCGTGGTGGTTGCTTTTTAATGTAGTTAAATGCTTCTTTCTGTGTGTAGATGATGGCCGAAACATTAGTTAAGTAGTTATTTTACAAGTTTTTTCCCATATTTATGTATTGTTTTTTGTTACATGTTTTGGATATCCTTCCTTTTATGTTTACGAAAGTGAATCTTGATGGTTCAGGTTTTGAATTATAAATCTTCTACATTACCACGTTGATTCGGTAAGGGATTCCCAAGCTGTATAGGCTTTTTCCTCGTTTTCTCAGGTATTTTCAGGAAAATCTCCCAACGGTTTACCGCCTCATCGTGGCTGGGAGGTGTTCCTGGGTGTCGGACTGCGATGTACAGCGGGGTATTCATCCCTCCACAAGGTCTCCCAAGAGTTCGGCGTTTCTATCAGGAAGCCCAGCTGGGAGTATACCAATACCAGGATCCACCACCGTCCTGATATTAAAGTCGCATGGTGGCAGATCTCTCTGTGATCCACCGGAGATGCGACTGCTTCTGGTGCTGAAGACCTGAGGCAGACTTTGGCCGGGCTGAACTCGGGATTCCAGGGAACCACGATGGCTTAACCAGCAAATCTCCGAAAAATGGTGATTGTGTTGAGGCCCGCTGAACCAGTGAGGACGGGCCGTTCAAGTATCAAATATTTTCAGGTAAAACACATGACATTTTAAAACGAAGAATGTGTTTCAAACAAACGGAGACGTGGAGGTCATCAAGATAGTGGGCGAAGATATATTCGAAATCTGGGATTTCCAGTTTTCGTCAATTTATTCTTCTTATAGAGCTGTATACTGGAGAAATACTTTTACAACCGTTAGCAGTATGTTTCAGATTGTATAGTGATTATTAAAAAGTAAGCACCCAAGTCTCCATAGGAATAGCAGACGTTGTTTCTTTTTTCTGTTGTACAAGCTTAAGCTTAGAAGAAGCTGATTTACTGGTTCTTAGAAGTATTTAAGGTCAATACAGTTCTAGTTAGAACTTGCAGAAAGTGCCATTACCTTATCTATACGGATAAATTTGTCCTCACTAACGTCGTAAATCTAATGGTAGACTAGTCGGCTACTCCAAAATTTGTCATTGAGTCGTGTCAAAAATAAGTTGAATGTGCGAAACGCATCGAAGTGGAAGCAATATGTGCTCTTTTACTCTTTCAGTGTTACTGAAATACGCATACTATCACTTACGGTAAGGTACCGACCAAAATTTTCGAGCAAATTTCCGTCTTAAGGTAGAAGTTGTAATAATCTCTAAGTGTTTCCAAAATGTCTTCATCTTAACCCTCCTGACTTTTCCTATTCCATGAAGTTGCATTCCCAATGTGTTAGCATAACATACTGAAATCATGTGGACCGCGTCTTTAGATTTATTTATATCCATGTTTTAGGTCTGTAGTGCGATTATTTTAGGGATGACACAGGTGCTAAAGCGCTCTTTCTCCATGAGCGCCACTGCATTTTCGGGACTCGTCAAACTTCCCACTCAGGTACATTCGTTGTTCAGCTATTTGTACATTTTGGAGAATTTTTATTTTGGTAGGTAATAACGAATATGCAGTGGCTGAGAGGCGCACAGAAGGTCCCGGAAGGTGAAGAATAACCGGTCTAGATGTCATACACCCATCTCTTTCTTGTTTTAGCGTTGTCAGGTCGCCTGTCAAGATCCCATAACTGTACATCATTTTTCTATTTAAATTGGATTATAACGGCGGTTGTAGAGATTCAGATGCGATGAAATTATATTTATTAGGAGCAGTGATTAAGGTTCACGGAATCGAGGGTCGATATGCTGGCGCCCTCTACTCTGCTGCTCACAAGCAAAAGACTCTGGAGCAAGTGGAGAAAGACCTCTATAAGGTCAGAAGCGTTTACCAGCAAGACGAAAAGTTTAAGGCGAGTGAACTACTAGTTACAATCTCATTAATTTTTTTATACTGAATATGATGTGTTAAGGAGTTTATTCGTGATCCCTCACTCAAGGGACAGAAAAAGAAGGAGGTAATACTCACAGTTGCACAAAAGCTTGGATTGACCAAGGAATCCGCTAATTTCCTGGGTGAGATTCTTTAGGAACTCAGTTTTGCATGTTCATTTGAGATGATATGGGCTTTTTTCTGCTAGTTTTTCCCTCAACAGTCCCACTCCCATTCCCGAGCGTGCTGGTTTTGAGAAGTGGCGATAACTTAGTAACTAAAACAACTGATTGAAAATTAACAGACTTGTGCAAAAGCCTTCACTTTATCTCCCAACATTCCTAGAATATCACAGTAATGTTGAATTTCTCTTTTTAACTCTTTTAACGTGAAAACCGCCTTTCGAGGACACCATCGCAGATGTCTGGACGGAATTCTGCGCGTTCGACCGTTGGTGAGGTTGCGAGAAAAAAATGAAATTGTGTGTTGTAGAAATTCAACATTCTTTCGTGGTGAAACAGGAAGCCATATGCGTTTTTACAAAAAATCTGGAGTTTCTAGTGTTTCGTTTGATAAAACTGTTTATGAGCAATATTTTTCCGAAGTAGAAACCTGTTTTCCTATGATCCTAGTAAACAAATCACATGTTCGAAGTTAGTATGACGTATTTGTAGCAGTGTTTCTCGGTAGGTCTTCTTGCTGAAAATGGTCGTTTGAGCAAGTTGGAATCAGTGGTCGCGTCATACGAGCACATAATGCGCGCTCATAGAGGAGAACTTTTCGTTCAGGTATTCCCATATTTGAAGTATTCATCGCGATAAGTATTGTCGGCGTGGCCGGCTTTCTATTTCGATTAACAAGTTATGGTGATTTCGCTCAGGTAATATCTGGCGAACCACTGAGCAAATCACATGAGTCTGCCCTAAATGACGCTTTGAACAAAGTAAGTCCGGTCGTGTTACTTTTTCTTCCTACTTCGACTTTAGTCCTTTCTTTCTAGATGGCGAAATCCGGCCAAAAGCTGAACGTTACCTATGTTGTGAAGCCATCAATCATTGGTGGCCTAGTGGTCACCATAGGAGATAAGTATGTAGATCTGTCGATCGCTTCACGAGTGAAGAAACTCAAAGAGACTTTGACTGCTTCCGTTTAGACATAGGTTTTTTAGAAAGTACGAAGTTGTAGATATGATAAATTTATTGATTTGATTGTTGGACCTGTACTTATTGATGGAGTAAGGTCATTATTCCTCCATGAGGAACAGCTTTTCCTTTTGTTTACGAATACAAACAACTCCATTTTTATTTCTTCAAACCAAAACGAACAGTAATTTCTGAAACGAAGTAACAAGCGTAATAACGTGTATCACCAGTCGGTTACGTGCAGTTGGTCAACGGACCAGTCTTCAAATGATCCATCAGGTAAATAACGCCGGATAATTATGGGGATCCGACGATGCTTTAACTCCTTTCGGGCGATTTCCAATGGATCAGTTTCTGGAAATAAGATTTGCACTAGAGTTAAGACCCAACAGTGATTGTCACCGTTCTCTTAGTTCGTTCGCCCACATAATTACTCTAGATTACTCACCGTTTCCTCCTTTGCTATGAGCCGCTATCTCAAGTATGCAGGAAGTATCTTGAACCCAAGCGCACTGGGCAAGAATTATAAAATTTAGAGGGGACGCTCACCTCCTTCTAGTTCCACCATCACAGGAGCACCCATGGCTATCTGAAGAGCTCGCGTACCTAGAACCCTGGCACGTTCATACTTGGTCATAAATGGAGTAGTGACACGATCAGTTGAAGCTGTTCCTTTTTCCGCCTAAAAAGCAGGGAGAATTTCTTCAAGCTCTTATGTGCATTAAGATAGATGCAACACTGGTACAGAAGCTTTAAACTAGAAGAAAAATTATTGGTTCTAATCTTCTGCAATGTAAGATTGTGCCTCACGCTAATAATGTCGATACGATGATCATCTTGCTCGTCTTCAACCTGTTCTAAATCGACATCCTCAACATCATCGTCGACGAAGTCGTCGTTGTCCATATCTTGGTAGTCGTCGTCATCCGCCATCACTATTTTCTCTGCAATACCATTTCTAGACCACTTTAGGAAAGTGGTCGATATAAATTTATAATCCTTTATGATCAGGAACAATTATGTAATTAATGGATGGTTATGTTGACAGTGATAATGAAGGTCAGTATCGGCGGCAAAAAACCTCCATTTGTTTCACAAACAACGAGGCTTTGGTAAAACCTTCTTTGTTAACACAAACGACAATTATATAACAGCAATACTTTCGGAAAATCAACGGATAAACAGCTGTACCAACAACAAATAGAATAAGGAGAAAATTGCATTCATTCAAGAGACAATTTTCCAGCAATGATGTCAGTTTTATTTATTGGTCGTATTGGTCGGCCACCCTGAAATGTAACTGATTGCTTTTTTGTTTTTGAGCTATTCACACAAGAGAGCAAAAATGCAAGCAGTTTGAATACCTGAGTTACAACTGCTGGCTTGCACAGCTCATGAGTGGTTCCGATTGTATTCCAATCTTTTCCAATTGGCTGCGAAACCATTGTCTCAAAGTCGACCACACTTGTGTACGGGAATGGTAACTCAGTCGGTTGAAGTCGACTAATACTCTGCAGAAAAAAATCCTTACGTAACGCTTTCTATGTTAAAATACAACATCAAGCCAACACTATATTCCAGTAAACTGACTGGTTCTTCTAATTCCTTGATTATCACACCGGGTTTCCCTTGGTCGTTCCTTCTCTTTTGTTTCGCTTTTATAATGAATCGCTTTCTTCGCTTACGTTCCGTAATACCGGGACCAACCCAACAACCCCATCCTGGTAAAGTAAGGTCGACGTCCTTAGGTCGTTCACCCTCTTCAGTCTACAAATGGACGATGAAGCAACGTTTACTACTTAAATACAGAAACTTATGGTAATAGATAAATGATGCAGAGAAATGTATTTGGTTAAGGATCCTGTAAATAGTTCTATAAATATGGACGTGAGCTTTTCGTGCAAGTTTCATGTGTACATCATAATGTAGAAATTTCATAAAGGATATGTATGTATAAAGTATGTACTAAGTATAAAGTATATGTATAATGTATCTAAGAACGTATAAAAACTTACAAATTCTTTGTCCTCCTCAAAATCACCAATAACATCGTCGTCTTTGAATGCCTCCGCAACGATGTGGGCCTGATCTATAAAGCTACCTTTTAATTTGAAACCACTAACGACTGAAAACTTATTTTCTGTAGCACTAAACTTCTGAAGAAATAAGCTCAGAACGCTGCTTAACGACGGAATAAAGAAAGAAAATCGAGTTATTCCTTCCTCTAGCGCTCAGTCTATTCACAGCATTCGCTCTCGTTCTGAAAGCATCCACACTAATACAGCAACATTCCCATACATAAAAACCTGGAAGTGTTGGTGTTAACGATCCAATAATGCTGGGAACGGCTATCCTGGGCTTTTGGAGGAAATCCCTTTTAACCAGCATCCAACATGTCATTGAGAAGATGAAATCCTCCAAATCCTCAAACTGCATAATGATCCAAGTCTCAACTCCACCAATCTTGTGGATGGTGAAATAATGGACAGTGTAATAGGACCCACTAAGAGTATGTGCACTGACTCTAAGATCGACGCTATATTTACAACGGCACCGATGACTGAACACTTATATTCTTGACGAGCCCACACATGAGTAAATTCAGTGCAATTTCTGCTTAAAGAAGGCTGAGGATTGAGAACACTCCACTTTTCTAAAATTTGGGGGGGGGGGGGTATATTTAGCAGTGACCTTATTCGGTAGTTTTTCCACAACCTTTGAACAAACTTCCTAGACGTGCTAGAATGAAATCATAGACAACTCCATGAACTACTATTTACTGTACAATGTGAGCTATATACGACAAATACGTGGTCGAAATTTAGCCTTTAAACCTTAAGTAATAGTGGACTCCATTAATTGAACTAAAAATTAATAGAACTTACATCCTTTGCAAATAAGACATAAGTTTTCCTACTTATCAGTACGACAGCGCAACTTTTTGGAACCTACGATAGGTCTTTTTTCTCGCCATTCTTCGTCAACTCTCACATTCTGGATAAGGAAGCTACTTAACAAACGGAATTTCGCCAAGACGATATAGTGATATGCTTCACCTCGTATTAGGTATAAGTAGCTGCCGGGTTTGCGTTAAAACTTTAAAACTGCTTGCTATTTCCTAATTATTAGAGCTATAAATAAAGTTAAAATAACACTTTAGAGGTATCCTATATACCTTTAGAATGAAAAGGTCAATGCTGTCTTAAGAGTGCGTTAAGTGCTCGGTTTTCCAAATAATCATGGTATTGAAGAGGCACCATCCTCAGCAATGTGATAAGTAGTGACAAGCCCATAACTATTGACGCTCTAATAGAGTTCTGTGCCAAAAGTTGGCTACGATTAAATAAAGTTCAGTTCCAACATTACTTAAGTTATGAAAGCATTTAGCTTCTGTAATAACACGCACACTGGTACGATTTCTCTAGCTTTTGAAAGAGAAAACATCTTAAAGCGACAACCACTTCGAAATAAGCGATAGATTAAATCACACTTACGAGCATTAAAGTTCTTTTCAGTTACAGTACAAAGTTAGACAAAATACCTAAAGCTTGATGAAATGCAAACAAAGTCACCTTCATCAAATTCATCCAACCTATCCATCAGTTCTGATGATACCTTCGATAGATTTGCAGTTTCCACCTTAAAAACAACATATCGCCCCAACACCTGCTGAGATGCCCTTTCAATTTTTACCTGTAGAAAGTTCTTCGGGTCAAGGGAAATATCTACGACCTCTTTCTTTTTTTCCTTTTCATTCGTTTTCAGCGGATTCACCATAGTCTTTTTCCTCTTCGGCGTGATTTCTTCTTCATTTTCATGATCTCGCATTTCCTGAGCTACCTTAACAAAGTGCAACATTTAACCCGAAAATAAAACGAATTAAGTCATTGTAAACAAAATGTGTTAAAAATCCTTTTCAGTTTATTAAGAACTGTTCGTGAGAACATTAAATACTAAACAAATTCCACCTTCTTTAAATTCTCAACAATCTTCTCTTCGGCAGCATTGAACAATACATCGATATCTTCCGTAGTACAATCCTTCGATTTTGCCTCACTAAGTGTTTTCTTTTTCCTCTTTTTTACTGAAATTTCTAGCTATGAGCCTAATACAAATCAGCTCTAATAATAATTGTTATAATAATCAAAACTATAATCGGAGTTCAGCAACTCTAATGCTCACCTTTTCTCTTAGCAGTTTTAGAATCACTTGATATGGAAGTCCCAATTTCTAGACCCTCCTCTTTAACTTCGCACTCTCCAACTGGAAAGAAACCTTGATAACGAAATCGGAAAAATTTCAATTTATTTTACGCTTATGTAAGGTTCTTCACCCTTTGAACCCAGTTTACCATGTCGAGAGTTATTCGCTCTATTCTCATCAAAGGATGTATCGTTACCCTCCTCCTTTGGAGAGTTCTTGGAAGTATTCTTGATAGTCCAGTCATTGTCTTGCTCAAACACAGGTTCCGTCAACTGAAAAATGAATTGCTAGAATTCATCTGATCTATGTTTGTTCAAAACCCTTGTTAACAACAGTAACCCCAAAAGAGTCGAAAACATTGTATTTGAACAACCTTGGTCGCCCAGAACCATCTACCGAATTCTAGTTCTTCGTCTCTCCTGTGAAAATACCATAAAAAAAGTAATACACAAAGGTGATTTGGTACTTGTTTCCCACCTTGCCAGCACCACGATTTCTAGCCGCTTCCAATTCACAACGTTTTTTTGCTCGCAATTCAAAGAGGGCGATGCGTGCATCACTGTCTTCTTCAACTGATTCGCCCATAACAGTGCTAGGACTCTTTGCAGCCGCTACTGCAGCACTCTAGAACTCGCAGTTTAAACAAGACCCAAGAATCATCAGATGAAAATTTAATCTTGCTGAAAAAAATCAAAATAGCATTTAGAAAAATGGGTGTGTTCAATCTACCATAATCATCTCTGAGACACTTATTTTCGACGACTCCTTCTTATCTTCATCTTCATCTTCCTCTTCATCGCTAGACTCCATAGAAACTTTTGACTTAAGCTCCCGTCCTAGTCTGAAGAACAAGATGTGGTTCAAAAAGTTCAAAAGAAAAATTGGTAAATAAATTTAGAAAACCTCAGATGTTCTTCCAAAACTTGTTTGGCACGAGCGTCACGTCCGGCGTACTTCACCACGTCCTGTTGGAATTTCGTTCGAGCGCGATGTTTCAAAGATGCACGTTCCTAAGTTAGAGAACTATTCAAATGAATTAATATCTCCAATGAAAAAGTAAAGGGACTAATGAACATAAGACTACATGGAAGAAAGAAAAAAAAAGAAAAACGTACGATTATTCTTTGATTTTCAAGTTCTTTTAGCTTCTCTTTCGCTGCTTCAGGATCACGAATTAATAACTCATCAAACTCCTTGATTAGCTGTTTTCGCTTTTGTCGCTTGAGGATGCGATGATAACTAAAAACGAACAACAACATATTCTACTCAGTGAATTTAAAAGTTGCTTTGAAAATGAATCAATAGAAGTGACGATGATTTTAGAAAAGATGTGATTGTCTACATTGCTTATTTCCAAAATTTTGTATTAGGCAGCATTGGACTTGCTAACATACCGCTTTGACTTTATTTTAGCCGCGTATCGATATTTTGCCTCACGATAACTGATAAGAGCACGCATCTTTTGCATTTGGTTTAATTTCTCTCTTGCCTGAAAAACCTTAACAGTTAGTCTATTAGATAAAATTAACAAAGCAGCAATAAAAAATTTTTTATTCCTATTTTTTATATGACTCGTCTGCGCTTTTATTGTGTGGATCCCAGCACATCTCACATTCGATTCATTTCCTCGCATCCATTATCCAAGAAGATTTTCCAACTTTTACGTGTGGCTTCGGCTACTCCTTGCGGATTTTCGTTTCATCATGAGTGTCGTAGAACGTTGGTCGAGTCGTTTCTGCCTGGAGTCGGCTTGGAGCGTTCTCAACTGTGATTGCAGAGAGCGACGGTTTCGCAGACAAGTCCGGCACCAATTTCCCGCCTCTGGAGGGATGACAGGCTTGCTTGGCCTGGAGCGGAATCGGATTAGCACCATGTTCGTGATGACCAGCACCACTGCTGCTGTATGCGCTCCAGTGACAAAAACACTTGGAGAAATAACCGAAACAGGAAAAAAGAGGATAATTATCAATAAAGTACCTCTTTAATATCCATTGCCCGAATGATTTCCAATTCAGCTTCTGTATAGACAGTGTCATTCGTCATATTGTTTTTCGATCCATTCCACATGTTAAACATTTTCTTCTCAAAGTCTGTCCTTGGCTGTAAAATAAACATCAAAATATTTGATTTGACAAATCAAGAGAGGCAAAACGACCCAACCTTGAATGCTTCGGCTCGGTCTGCAGCCTTTTCTGTTGCTAACATGGTTTCCTCACCCAGGGGAAAACACAGCTGATCAGTCAAGCGATTACTTTTGACTACATTATCCCATATTTTCAGATCTTTTCTGAAAGCGATATTTCAACCAGATTTAATGATGAAGAACAGAAAACTGCTAGCAAATCAAACGAAAAAAAATGATGGAAAAATTTTAAAACATATTCTAGACCTTGCATAGGATATACTCACAAATAATCGAACCGAACTGTTCCGCTTCTTTTTTTGGAAATGACGTTATATTCATCTGCGAACCATTATAAAAATGAAAAGACAGAAGGGCACAAACTTTCCAAATAGTATTTCACCACATCCAAGCTTATTTCCTCAGCGTTGAGGAGAATATACTACAGTATTTTGAGGAAAATAAAAACAGAAGGACGCGGTGATACGAGGAAAACTCGGAACCTAGGATGAGTTTCAAACCTGCAACTACTGTTTCCGAGAGAGTAAGAGCTGCCCAGTACACCAACAGATGACCATCCTTTACACTTCTCTCAGCTAATTTACTACGCGGAGTTGGATAGCGCAATGGTAGTGACATCCGTCATCACAAGCATGGTGCTAGTTCGATTCCGCTCCGGGCCAAACAAGCTCTCTGAGGTCTGGAAATTGGTTCCGGACTTGGCCGGGAAAAAAGTCACTCTATGCAATCCAAATAGGAACGCTCCAACCCGGCTATCCCAGGAACCCTGAGAGAATTGCTCGACCAGCCTTCTACTTCTACTTCTACGACACTCAAAATAAAATGAAAATCGTCAAGCAGGGACTGAAGCCACACGCAAAAGTTCTAAGGTCGTCGCGGGCAATGAATGCGAGGAAACGAATCGAATGTGAGAATTGCTGGTATCCGCACAGTAGACGTGAAGACTGGTCATAGAAAACAAAATAATATTTTCCTACTCTAACAGTGCTATCAGTAATCATTTAAAAAAACTTTGTTTAACTTGAATAACTATTTCCTGTGCTACAAATTGACTGGGCATGTGAAGCGCAGTGGTTAGAGGAACCCAGCAATACACACGTAGTCGTTGGTTCGATCCCGTGCCTCATGCCGACCAAGACTTCCATCCCTCCGGAGTCGGCAGATTGTCACCAGACTTGTATGGGAGGATAGAAGCATTGGCACGACATATCGGTAGGCTACTGTGAGTCATTGTAAAGGCCAAATATGCATTCAATCAGCTGCAACGATGCTGATGAAGTCGAATGTATGGCGCTTACCTTAGGGGATGATTAACACCGAAAGCTTTCTATCCTTGCTAAGAATAGCTGAGTTCACAAATGTCGATCGTCAAAGTAAAATTTCACGTAGGCTAAATCGTTTTCGGCAAAAATACTAATAAATGAAATCACGAAAGATACACACAACTACATAAAAACTGATCAAGCTTAAAATTTAAATGTTTCACTGTAACTGCAGACAACACATTGTTGCTAGTTTAAAAAGAAATGTGGTATCACGCTTTATAATGAATGAATTTAATTTAACATTTGTTTTTACACAACATTGACTTTCAAAACTTTAAACCTTATCATAACTGGAAAAGTTATAAAAATATCTTCGTCGGAAAGCAAATAAGACAAAAACTAACCCACTTGAGTTCAATGAATCCAACAGCACCCTTTATCCGTTCGCTGGCTTGTCGATGGATTGGGACGGCAACCGTTTGACTTGCGCCCACCTTCTTCTCCTCTTTTTTCTCTAACTCCAACTTCTCCTTTGCTAATGATGCGGCTGCCCTAAACTAAAACAAAATCAAAACCTGAATACATTTGAAAGGATATATATTAACAGCGCACTTAGCATGTTTGACCGAATTGATAAGTAAGTCGCTAGTAATCTTCTTCGAGGATTTTTTGACCGAGACCTGTAGAAAGCACTTTTCCAGTGGAAAATTACACTAAGATAGACCAATCTCTAACCTGCTCTTTGCGTCCCAAAACACTAGCCAATAACTTGTCATGCTCTGTTTCATCAAATTCATCGTCTGACATCTGTATGAGACCTTTTATACTCTATCCTCTTTGCAAACTAACAACAGATATTGATCACTTATGAGACCTACTTTCTCATGAATAACGCAAATTCTAGAAATTCCTTTATTCATCGAGTATGTATAGAAGGGACATTTAACCATTAAATTAAGAAGTATTTCATTGGTAAACAAAGTGTAGGTGTACTGTTTACGACTAACAATCGGTAACAAGCATGAAGCAAACCAGCATGTAGAAAACACAAGTGCATTTAGTCCCGATTAGCAATGGCATTGAGATGATGATCGACCTGATCATTCGTCAATTTCCTGAAAGAAAATTCGCAACATCAAAGTGAAATAAATGCGCAACAGTGTTAAAATTAGCAACAACAACAACATTGCAGGTTTCCAAACGGTTCTATTTTATTAACTAAGAAATAACAAAGCGGCGCATGCTGCGCAGTAGTCGGAGGCGCCCTGTAATACACATGGGATCGATCCCCACGCCCTAGGCTCACCAAACGTTCCATCCCTCCTGAGTCGTCAAATTGGTACCATACTTGTCTGGAAGGATAGCAGCACTGGCTCGATATATCGCCAGCCCACCGCGAGTCATCGTAAAGGCCAGATATGCACTCAGTTACCTCGAACGATGACTGGTAAAGTCGAACGCGCAGCGCATCCTCAAAGATTGATCAACACCCGCATTTTTACCTTTTATACTTTAAGAAATAACAAAATACCGAGCTTAAATCAGTCTACAATCCGAATCCGCCTCACGCATGCAATGATACCAATGTATATGGTCCACTGTGTTAACGTTACGTTAAAAAACCTAGCCATATACGCTGATGTAGTCTGCTTTAAACATGGTTTTTCATAAAAAAAAAAAAAACTAAATCATTCTTGAAAAAAGTCGAAGAGAAGTAACACAACAGAACAAGAGCAAAAAAACTGACCTAAAGCTTGTGTCCTTCTTCGAAACTACTACGACCTCAAGATCTTTTGAACGTGTCTCAATACCCAGACTGCTCTGAAGGGCCTCAATGGCAAGTTGAATTGCCTCATCATGATTCAAATCTGACTTCTTCTTAATTTTCTTCTCCAGGAACGATGATGCAGTAACCTTAAGTAAACTTTTTAGAGAAGTATTTGAAAGCTATCACAAAGTGAGAAGAATAGGTCCGTTTTTCTTTTTGCAAAATATGTTAAGTATTGAAACACATAAGCATAAAAGAAAGCACATCACCTGTTTCACACCAACAGACACTGCTTTCATTCCGCGATAGTACCCAGCTGGATCAACTTTGAAAACTACTGCTCCATCTTCGTCATCGAACGATATCATTATCATTGCTATGGTAGAGAACTTGTTACGAAATCAGAAAGAAAAATTCAGACGACACTGTAAAGATACCACATCCAAGGCTCCTCATTTCAGCGTTTTGTGTATAATACTGGTTCTTATCGGCCATACGTTTTGCAAGAAGTTCACATGGCATATCATAACCATTTTGATATTTCCACTGAGCAGCTTCCATCTGAGCACGTCGGACCTAGACATGAATCTTCTTCAAGAACACAGCACCACAACAAGAAAAACAATCAACCGACTTGGAACTTGCAGTCTGGTATCATTCCAATAGCGCAGCATCCCACAGTAGGTGACAACTGGTAGATCGATGTTACCGAATCAGCAACAATGAGGCTATCAGGAACTCGCTTTTGGACGGCTATTACAGCAGTATCGACACCCTAGAAAAAAAGAGGTAAACCCGAATTCAAAGGCATCAACCCCAACTTACCTTAACAGCTACTGCAGTAAGATTGGTAGAGTTAATTGCTTTAAACGCATACTCAACCTGCAATGCGAAGTTAAAATAAAAAGATATCTAACCAATGCAAGTTGTTCCTACCTGATACACTCGTCCTTCTGGTGAGAAGATGGTGATGTGGCGATCAAAACCAGCGCTACTTCCACGAGACATTTTTGTCACCTGGCTGTTAATTTTACACCGTGCGAATAAAACAAAGAACAAACATGGAATCGAAATCGACATTTCGTTTAAAAAAGATATAGAAAGATAGTTTATAAGCAAACAAAAGCTAAGCACATTTATCCACGCATAAAAAAAAAACAAAATGCATCAAGAGTATTCTATGTCCTTTCTCTTGCACTTCAAACAGGTGTAAAAAACGGTTTGACCTTCATCTGCTGACCGAGTTTGCATAGTAGAGTAGGAAGCCTTGTTGTGTCCACATCTGCAAAAACTAGGCAAGGGAACAGAAACCAGCACTGGAAAGTCCATTCAGGTTTCATAGAAATAAAAATAACTGCTCCCTAAATCGCAGAAAATCTGTCCTTCCTTGCATAACTTTGACGAAAAGTAGTAAACACTATACACTCATTTTACTTTTTTATTTACTGCCTACTACAAGTCTTCACGGCAGAATATTATACAAAATTCAACCACAATGATGCCGAGGTATTTGCAAAACTCCGGACTCCAGGTGTTCAATGCCGATTTGGGAACCCCAGGTCAATCCTGTTGACGGATGATTGTTGATGACACCGTTACAAAGAAAACTAGCTGACATAACGGCTAAACAAAGTACCCGTATGGTGTGGTGGTGAACACATTAGGCCCCGGAAAGAGTAATAACGGGTTCGGTCCACACCACAGACACGTGCGGTTCGGACTTTTCCAGATTTCTCAGCATCATTGAGGTTGAATTAAGTACTCAATTTCATAACAATGGGACCAAGGATTCGAGTAAAACGCTCCTCATTCCTTTGGTTACCACAAAACAACGTTAAGGCGTGTGAGGTACTTATTCAACGCCTCAATTAAACTAAGTTTTAGTAAAATAACGTCGTTACCGATTTTTAATTCACCTAATTTTAGCAGCCAAGTCATGCATAACGCCGACAACAGCATAACAGCAGACAATAAATTTCGCTCATTAAAACGTCTGGGAAAACATTATTTTAAAAAAACTAGTTTTATACAATCGCACAGAAAGGAATAATGTTCACCAAATTAACAAGAAATCAAGCATGTGCTTCGTGAAGCATCCTTTTAGGCAAACTATTCCGACTTTATCGATAGTAAAGGCCTACGTGGAATTTTCAGTAGCCAAAGAATTGACCTAAACTGCACAGTTCTGCACAATGAACGAAATCCCTGGTTTAATGTAGAGTAAAAGAAATCCTCAACATTTATCGGATCGAAATCGTTTAGAATTGCCGCTCACAATTCATAATGGATATATCAGTTATACTTTTGAGCATAATTTTCTTTAAAAAAAATATACCGAAGTCATATACTATCTGCAATTCTACAGCACTACCTAGTTTTCGTTTCCTTCTCTAATTCAAAGATATTTCCATTATTCTTTTCCTTCCCTAATTCAGAGATTCCAACAAACTAGACCTTCGACTACTTCCATCATCGGCAGCTAAACTAACTTGCTACAAACGTGTTCCACTACAGCATCTCCTCCATGCTCATGTGCCACTCCTTCGGTGTCCGCTACCGTTCGTTCGTATATCTTCTCAATCCGGCACACCACTTCATTACGTTTCTCTAAATATATTAACAATTGAGAACCAATGAGACTGCACAGAGATTAAAAAGAGACAAACCGCGCACAAGCCACTCACAGCCGCAAACCTTACAAGTGACGTTGGATGGAGCAAACTGCGGAGTTTGTAGAATGGCACCACAAAAACCGCAAAAATCCGGGTTAATAGAGGCGAAATTCAACGACATCTCTAGAAACACATATAACTACTTCAAATGAAACTCATAAATAATAAAATAAGAGAGGAAATCCATTGAAGGCGAAGCGACACCTCTTAATTGAAAGGCATATAATAGGTAAGAATCAGGTGCGCTTGCTTCCCTGTCTTGGCTGAAATCAGAAGAACCAGTCTTCCATATAACATTTATCACATGAAACAATGCTTTACGAATGATTATGAAACCACTTATCACAAAGCAACAACCAGGTTAAGCTTGGCAATTCTAAGCATAAAAACGCCCAGAACGCAAGAATCAAACGTAACTGCTTGGTGAATGAAAAACTACGGCTGAAAAGAAAATGAAATTAATACCATATATTTAACTGTGATTGATTTACTTTGATGTAAATTTTTTTGCATAACAATTGTCTTCAACACCACCATAAGGACTCTTGAGTCCACCCCAACAAAGCGAATATCAAAGTAATAAATAATATTAAAAAATCATTTTAAAAAACAGGTTATGTTCTAATAACTACGTCCAAATAATGCGAAGAATCGGGCTTTGTTCTTACAGGCTGGGAAGATGCATTGGTCGGGTAATGTTTCCTTTGGCTAAAATAAGACATTTTCAAATATACATCCAAAACTTGAAAGTATTATCAATACTCCAACCTGTTCTAAAGGAATACAAAGAGTTTTTGCTCCCATCAAAGACGCTCCACCATCGGCTTCCTCCTTCGTACTGGCTTTCTTGATCTCATCTTCGCAAGCAATTTCACCACAGAACGGAGACAGCAAGATAAACTTCTCATCCAAAAGCTGTTTGAATTCCTCAAAGTTGTAGCAAATCTTCATATGAGTATCCCGTGCAGTCAACACTCTAAAATCAAAGGCTTGGCACAATAACTGGGACATCCATTCTCAAAATGGATAAGAATTCACTTGCTGTACATATTGATATGAATTTCTTCTAGAAGTCGTTTGCATTCGTCAACAATCCGTGACCATTTTACTGCATGCTTTTGGCCGTTGTATCGTAACACAACTGTAACCTGGTCTGCCGCCAAATCCTTAGGACCAATCTACAATACACGATCTCTGTTAGCGAAAGAAGTATTCAGCAACCTCTGAACGTTAGGGCATTTGAATCGTCTAAAAATAACCACATCCAACTAGCATACCTCAAGTCGTACAGGCACGCCCTTCAATTCCCAGTGGTTGAATTTCCAGCCAGGCGAATAGTTCTCTCTAAATTGAACACGTTAATATAACTTGAAAGCCGGAAAAAAATATCTATCAATTATATTCTTCATTTACATACATAACGGGAACAGGATAATTTACAAATACACATTAATATAGTATACATGTACATGGATCAGAGGGATGTTTGTAGCGAAACTGTTTCGCCGTGGGGTTGGAAAAACTTACACCTAGGTTGCTCTTCATCACTAAAGCGAATGAGTTTCACACGATGGAGTCTACACAGTACCGAATTCCACAACATTCCCTCTCTCCTGATTGTAGAGTTGATACGGAGTCGAAGTAGTTAGTATCAGCTCGAATACACCCACATTATACTAGTTTAGTTCCTCACACATTAATTTTCAGGATGAAAACAACTTAGAACAGTGTAAAACCAATAGAACAATGCTGCTGAAAAAAATAAAAAGAACCATAAGGTTGTAGAAGAACGGAGACCTACAAGATTAAAGCAACGATCGCTCAACCTGCCTGCCGTCTATCGTCTGCAATCCCTTTACCGCAAATATGCTCAATGCTGAACAAGTTAGCAAATGGCTTAGAGGAATTTCAGTCATGGGAATAAATACAGTTTTGTTAAAAAGAAAAACGCGATTGACCGCAAATGTAAAGTCTCTAAGGTATGAGTAAAGTAAGATGCCACTATATCTTACATTTATCGACTTAAAAATGCTTTCGATTTAGTTGAGAGGAAAAACATGAGCAACCTTGACACCGCGCTAATGCGACTCCACCTTTCAGAGATTCGCCATTTTACGACGACATAATCGTCGATGTAAAAAGGGGTCATACGAGGTAATACTATCGCTTTCAAAGATTGAAAACCAACTAGAACCACCTTTCAAAACTTTCTCAAAATAAATGAATGCCGTTGGCTAGAAAACACAATACTCCGCTCTGCTAATGACATTACACCACAACATCAAGCAAACAGAATGAAATTATGTTGATTTCCTAAGCGTGAGTAGAAAGGTCTGCCTGCACGACCTAAACCTCATCCGAATAAGAACAATGTTCATCCGAAAAAAAAAACGGTTCTATATGTTCCATCAGTATCCTGATAGGTTACACTATATATTAGATATACAACAAGAGCATCAACTCTACGATCGGATTTCATCAAGAAAAACTTCAATAGAAGACAACATGGTCCATGTATCGTTTGACCTAGCACAAATCACTCTGGCATGCGACACTAATCGGTGCACACTTCACTGGAGCCTGTCCGAACAGCTTCACTATTAATGACAGAACAGATAGTACATAGCCTGCATCATGTCAATCTCTTGATCAATTAAAAAAGTGTGTACCTAAGATCTGCTTCAGCCCGTATATCAACATCCACAAGAAATTTTACCAGTTCTTCTGCTGTTCTCATGATACGCTTCCGTTCTTCATCTGGCGTTTGGGCAGTAATACCAACAGGCAAAACGATCACCTAAGCAAAATTTCTGAGAAAAATCCTCAATAGCATAAAATGTAACAGGTGGAACATTTTAACTGCGTTTACAACACATCAGTAGTTACTTCTCCTGATGTCTTGGTTGAAACTTAAACCACTATAAAGATCAGGTTATGTCACTCGTAAAACTGTCAAATTCGAAGTCTTCCTAAAGTGTTCCAAAAAGGAAAGTTGCGTAAAAATATGGACACCATGTGCCACATATGCCAATTGTTATCACCTACCCATCCCACATTTTGTTAGATAGCTGTCCAATTTTAAGTTTCTCTTGGTAAGCGATGTTTTCAAGCATACCTGAACAGCTGCAACTTTCGGAGGCAGAACAAGTCCATTGTCATCTGCATGGATCATCACCATAGCACCAATCGTGCGTGTAGACAGACCCCAAGAATTCTGCCATGCGTACGCCTGGAAACGTTAAAAATTTCGACATGCAACTAAAAACACTGGAGTTAAAAGTGACTTCTAAGCAATAACCTTCCCACCACTGACGGGATCTTCGAATGAGATATCAAACATTTTCGAAAAGTTCTGTCCAAGATGATGGGATGTTGCTCCTTGAATGCCACGGCCATTACACGGCACATATGCTTCTACAGTAGTTGTAAAATCACCACCAGCAAATTTTTCCTGGAAAAAATTTTTTAACGGGATAAATTTTCAATGAGTGATCCTTCTAGATCAACTACCCATACTTTTTCACTCTTTCTGCCTTTAATAACAGGTATTGCTAAGAGATCAATATAAACACCGGCGTAGAGATCGAGAATTTGAAACACCTCCTTTTCTGCTTCTTCCCTAGTTGCGAAAGCCGTATGCCCTGTGATACAACCAGTTTCTTTAACAGAAATGAAGCTACAATTACTGAAATAGAGATACCTTCTTGCCAGAGAAATTCGCGAGTACGTAAGAATGGTGTGGGATGCTTAAATTCCCATCTCTGCAAATCACTGTTATCCAGATCAAAGCTGATAGTGTCCAAATAAGAAAAGAATAAGGGAAAAAGAACCAACAACGACATTGCACCACTGGTTAAGTTTAATAGGCAGATCTCTATGAGATTGCACCCATTTCTTATAAGATGGATATACAACGGTCTCAGAAGTTGGGCGAATTGCGACAGGTTCTGCCATTTCAGAAGATCCAGCACGAGTTACCCAAGCGACCTGAAATTGATTGCGAAGGAACCTGAAAATCATCAGCATGTTTTACTGACATGTTTTCAAAAACATCATACAAAAAAACCTAGAAAAAACCCGATGGAGTACTAAAAGAATATAATTCATTGAGACCGACTACTGGAAAAACAGGAACGTCAAATATCATACCTCCGGAGCAAAATCAGCAATGTGTGTCTTCTCACGTTCTAAAGCAGCGCTACTTACGAACATTGGAAAATAGCAGTTCTTCACTCCCAATTTCTTTATGCCACAATCAAACCATGCCTGAAATAACTGCGTTCCCTATTCCGATTATATCACCACAATCGTGACGACAGATGCTGGTTTTTGAAACTTTCAATAGAAAGAGCATTTCAAGTGCTAACAAACGGTCGTATTGACAGAAGAGATTTCGCTCTACTGCTCTAGGAAAACGGAAACTTTATTAAAATAGCATTCCAAGTTTGAGTGCTTAAAACCAAAATCTTAAGAAATAGAAAACGAAATCGAACTTTCAATGTTTTCAATGCAAACAGGCTAACTGTAAATAGCAAATAGGTATTGGGAACACAGTACCCTTCTGTTGGATGAAATTTCGCCCGTTAAATTGCTTGTTTGGTCGAAAAAAAAGCCCTCTGATAATAAATTCCCACAGAATTTACTCTTCAATCAATTAAGAAACTAAAGCCCTGTTGGAAAATTCTTAAGATTCTACTAGCTTTTGATGAATAAACAAAGTTAACAACGAGATGGAATTTGTTCGCTTAAAGCAGGAAAGCGTAAATATCCTCGAATATATGTGTACTGAAATCAAATCGTATAGTCGCGAATGATTCAGAGAGCACAAAAAGTACTTGAATGGCTTCCCAAATCGCGAATGACCACGGACGCAGAACATAACATCCGGACACATCGTAGTATTCAATCATTTCTGCCTTCGTTATTACCTATAAAGGGAAATGAATATCATATACAACTGAACGAAGTCAACAGAACTATTTGTTGGTGGACTCAGGTTAAATGAATCACCAGCGTACTAGAGCTTAGGTTCAACGGCGGAGTTCCACTAAGAATGGCTGGAACTCACCTGACTGTACCATTCAGAGTAATTTTCATCCTTTGAAATTTCAATCCCCAATTTCGTCACTTTTTTTCCATCTGTTTTTAGTTCTTGCTTTTTGTTAACTGCAGATTTCTTCTCCTGAAAAGCAACAAAGTCGTATGAGACCATGGAAATCCAGTGAAAAAGTAGAAGCTAAAGGACCTTTTGCCTATGAGTTGTAACCGCCGCATATTCTTTCCCAGTTATCTCCTTATAAGTTAATTTCAGTCTTAAGAGCCTCTCAATAGCTTCTTTTTTCACGTCCTGTAACATATCGATTTCAAGAGTTTCAACTTTTAACTAACTCAGTGAGAAGTTAAGGGCCACAAAGTAATAACATTACTCCGGTGATACGCAAGGAATCAAAAGGTCAACTATATAAACCGGAGTAAAGCAATAGTAATAAGGTATGTAATATACTACAATAACAAAAAGGTTCGAAATGGGATTAAATGCGAGCTAACCTCCGATGCAGAAGGGTCACCTTTGAGTTGGCGAACGTGATCGCCTTGTGCTATAATCTCCTGTTCAATCTCTAGCTCGTTAGCCATTCTACGCTACACAGGACCTAGCTGGTAACACTATAGACAAAATAAACGAAAGAGAGTTTAACATAAGTGGAAAGTGCCGTAGTATCCAAGAAAATCACATCTTGAAAATGAATGCAAATGAAATAAATATTTATTAATAGTATATGTGAACAACCCGCATCAAAATTAGAAATCAAAACGAAAGCAGTTAAACCGAAATGAGTTGCTCATCGCTCTCTAATTGATCACGACATTTACGAAGTATTTCCCATAGAGGCTGAAATCGATTAAGAGCATTCAAAATTATGAACAAACACGACCGCTTCTAAAGAACAAACCTTCGCAACATAGTGACTATAGCGGAATGGTTCCTCTCCATCCTGTTCTACATATTTCAATCCATTATCCACTCCCTCAGGCATAACTGTTGGAAAGACGTCAATCAACTCATGACGTGGGAGTACATCGTGTAGCACAGCAACTGCTTGATCACACATGGGCTTAACGCTTGATATTAAAGAACTCTACTATGTATCTCTGTAAAAATACTAATGGTATTGCAAAACTTCGAACATACTTTCTATAAAAAGTAAAAAAAACACCAACCATTTCGAACCGGATAATAGCAGCAACAACAAGAGGGACAGAAATGAGTTTCGCGTGAGTATTGTACAATTCTTGCAATCCCTCAGCGTTTGGAGCAATTATTCGAGCAAATAACTCTTTGTACAGCGGTTGTTCTTTTTTTAAAAGACTGAATAGTTCCTCTGTAGATAAAGCACATAGCAATCCTAAATTCCGCAGTGGCTCCACAAGATTGGAGACAGCTTGGCCTGCCTTCCTAAAGTGCTCCTCATAGGAAGGTTACTAATCTCTGCGAATGATTTTGGAGGCTACGATATATATATATATATATATATAT